TTTCCCCACGGAGCCGTCGGGCCGGCGCTTCCTTAACTTTGGGGCGGGGGGGGGGCACCGTCGGACCGGCCGTGCGTCGGGGCCGCGCGCACGTCGGGCGGGATGGGGCGGGATGGGGCGCGGGGTCCAGGACGGGCTTCTGAGCCACGGGTCTGCGCATCTGCCTAGGTCTGCGTCCGTCCATCCGTCTGTCTGAGTCTGGGAGCACCTCTGGGTGCTGGATCAGAGTCACGATCTCTCCAGAAGGCGAGTCCCCCCGCGTCGGGGGTGTCATGGTGTCTGGGTGTTTCTCTAGGGTATGGCGTCCGTCTGGGGTGGGGGGTGCAGGCCCATCCGAGGACCATTGGTGTCCAGATATGAGTCAGGGCTCAGCGCGGGTCAGCCTGGCCCTGTGTGGGTCCCAGTGCGTGCGTGTGTGTGAGTGTGATTGTGATTGTGAATGTCTGTGGCCCCAGCGCTCCTATAAATAGCTTCTGTCTGGACGGCTTGGCTCAGTCTGCTGGGACGGTTACAAATGAGTCAAAGTTCTGGGCGGGTTGTGCGTGGGACAGCCTTGCTCCAAAAGGCAGCGGTCGGCCCAGCCTGGCTGGAACTGGGGCGTTGGAGTCTGGGCTGGGTCGGCGTCTGTCCCGTGGCACAGCCCAAGTCCAGACCAGGAAGCGTCTCCCCCTTCTTACTGACATAGCCCAAGGCCGACGGTCAGCTGGGGGTTGGACTGAACCCTCATCCTGTTGTGGCTCCTCCACACTCCTCCCTCAGGCTACCCTTTGGGAGACCTTTTGCTTCTCCAAGCTTCACTGTTCAGGTCTTTGCCCCATGGCACTGCTTAGCAGCTGGGCACACAGTCCTCTGTAGCCCTCACTTGCTGCTTCTCCCAGCCAGACCCGCAGCCCAGGGCCGCTGCCCCGGAAGGCGGGCAGCTGCCTGGGTTGACTCACAGTTCTTTCCGCAGGCCGCTGCCATGGGGTTTGGGCCCCTGAGCCTTCACGGTGAGGCACAGGAGGTAAAAATAACCCGTGAGCGGCCCTGTGGGGGTGCGGGGGTCCCACCGACTGCCACCCACTCCCCTCCTGCTGTCCCAGCCCACCCCAGCTGCCTGGTCTCCAGGCCTGGAGTTTCCAAGAGGACATGCACAGCGCCTGTGCTTGCAGACTTGGCTTGCATTAAACCCAGTGGCGTGGCAAAGGCCCCCAGTGAACGCTGGAGGCTTGCCTGAGGCGAGAGGATGTGGCTGAAGGATGTTCCCACGTGTCCGAAGAAGGGCTCTCGGAGGTGGCTTTCTGACAGGCTGCCTTGGGAGAACTTCCCCACAAGGGCACCCGCCTCCATGGCATGTTCCCCTCACCCCCAAGGGGTGGACACCTTTGGACATCCACTGTCTGTATTCCAGATTGTTTTTTAAAGTATTGTTCTTATTTCCCTCTTCCTTGGCATGTGTATTGACCCACCACAGGAGAACATCCTTATTAAAGTGCTCGCCCAGGGCCTAGACAATCACTTTTCAGAGGCCGCTGAGTGGGACCCTCACCTCTCTGCTTATTGGAAGAAAGTGCAAGGCAGGGAAGGAAACCACCTTTAAAACCGTGTGTCGAATGTGAGCTGTGTGCTGCGAATATGGATGAAGGTTTCCAGGAGAGAGCAGGGTGAGGAAGACTTGGGGCTTGGCATTTCCTAGAATTTTTTTTTTTTTAGATCAAAAGAGAAGGGAGAAGGAAGGGAGGGAGGAAGGACTATTGTTTTTCATTTAGTAGATCTGGGAGTTAGTTGCAGTTATATAGACCTTTGAAGACACAATGGGGCCTTCGAGAAGACTCTGTGTGCAGAAAGAGGTTGACTTTGTAGGCTTGGGCCTTAGTTCCTCATTTTCCGTTTCCTGAGGTCAAGGGTCATAGGATGGAAGACTGAACCGGGTTTGCTGTCTCTGCTCTCCATCTGGATGAGGCACTGTGTGGGGCCTGGCTCCTGCCCACGGGTGGCTGCTTCGTGGCTTTTGGCTGCCATGGATTGCAGACCCCGGGGAGAGGCTCGGTGAGCTTGGAGTTAGTTCATGGCCTTGCTTTGGGAGATCAGGGAGTTCATGCTGGAAAGCTTTGCCCCCTAGTGCCCCATGGGCTTGTCTCCCATGGAGCCCACATTCTGCCTCCTGGAGTGAGAACCTTGAGCCCTGAGAGGCCCACCTTGAGCTTGGAGCCCGGAAAACATCTTTCACAAGACACTCCAGGACAGGGGGGGCGGGGAGAACACATCTTTCACAAGACACTCCAGAGGGGGGAAAGGCGGGCTCTCATCTTTTCCTTCTCTTGACTCTGGTAGAATTCTCTGGTCCCCAAACACACAATGAAAACATTAGCTTTTGTTGTTGTTGTCCTTGTTGTTTAAGCCAGAATCCTGGGGACTAAACGTGTCTGGCCCAAATGGCACCACAGCCACCAGGAGGCCTCAGCCTGGTGCTGAGGCAGTCTTTTCTGGCCTCTGGTTCCACTCGGTCATGGTTCTCCTCTGGCTTTTGCTTGAATCCTGGGGGTCGAGTAGGTAGGTGCTGTATGCTTTCTGAATAGACTGGGGTCACCACAGGCATTTATTTCTCCAGGGCCCCATGGCTCACCTGCCCCAGCTTACCCCAGACATGTGACTACTGAGCCTGCCCTGCCCTGGGCATTGTGGGTGGGCAGGGATGGTGGCCTGTGGGTCTGACAGCTCTGGTCCAAAACTGCACTTACCCAGTGCCAGCTTCTCCAGCGGGCTTTGGGTGCCGAGGGCAGGGTTGGAATTGCGAGATGACCCTGGCTCCCCCTTCAGAAACCAGGCCTAGCCAGGCTGCCACCTGCGCTCCAGGTTGATACCTGCCACTCAGCCTTTCAGGAGGGCCGCTTGTGCCCCTGGGAGGAGGAGGGGGCTCCTCTGGGGTGGGAGTTTCTGCTTTAAGGAGGCTCTGGAAGCAGAGAGGCTGGTGTTTTCCACTGGGTGGAAATGTGGAGACCAGACAGTCGCTGCTTTCCCCTTGGGCCTCCGCACTGGGACCCCCAGGCCTTCCCCGCCGTCTGGCTTAGGTCTGGTGTCTGGTGCAGTGGGAGAGCTGTGTGTTGTAACTGTGGCCTTGGGTCAGACAGTGGCTGCTGTGTCGAAGGAGGCCTGAGAGAAGCCAGCTCCAGGTGCCGTTTGACCCAGGGTCAGGGGCTGGTCTAGCATTTGTCAAGATGCAAAAATCGCTGTTTGTTTCTGTATACATATGCGTGCCACATGTCTGGGTACACGTGCACACGCAGCCTCTGCCCCTTCCCGTCTGCCCTGTCAGCTACTCTTAGGTTAGAAGTGGTTAAGACATCTAGGTTTGTCAGGGGGAAGAAGTGGTGTGGGAGGTGGCATTGGAGGGAAATGTACCTTGTCCTCTATGAGTTAGGCGGTCCTGAGACAATGGCTGTTGGGGCCGGGGTCTCCTCCCTACCTCCCATCAACCCCCACGCTGAAAGATGCACTTCAGTCCCAGACTTGGGGGGATAGGAACCCCACTTGGCCAGGCACTGAAGCTTTTATGGGAGGAGGACGTTGGTGGACGGGGCGGCCAGCCGGACGGTGGGACGCTGCTGCCCCAGGGAGTGACCCCTGCCGTTGAACTTGGGAGGCGGGACGGGCCAGCTACCTGCTCCGAATTCGGGAAGGAGATCACAGCTGAGGGCTGGATGCTGCGTTCTGAAAGGTGTTGTGTAAGGCGGGCATGTCTGGGGCACGCGGGGAGCCATGAGGCAGGCAGGCACCAGATTGCCCCAGGTGGGGAGAAGAAAGTTTGGGGGAAACTCAAAGATGTTTGTCTCTGAGGTGGCCCGAAGCTGGGCTCCAAGTTTCCACCAAACGGGCCCCCGTGGGCTGCTCCGCGAGGAATCGTGCCTGGCCTGTGTGAGGCCCCGGGTTCCGCCCCCAGCACTGCAGGAAAATTAATAAGAGAATAACAAGAGTAAAAGATAGGCCCGTTCTTCCGCCTCTGTCCCCTGACACCACCCGAACTCGTGTGGCCACTATGTCCACCCCGGGGCACCCTGTGGTGCGATTTCCGTGTCAGACTCGCAGATTTCCAACCCTGGCTGGCAGTTTCTTTCTCTCACCAGTGTTGTTTGCTTCCTGTCGCAGAGAGGTTGTAAAGAATTCCCCACGGCCCCACGCACATATGGGGGTCCCACCGTGGGTCTCATCCGGCATCGTGCCCAAGGGTCAGAAGCCTGGAGCCCCTGCCCTGCTCTTGGCTGGAGGTCATTGAGTTTTGGTGCCTGCTGGCGCACTGCAGACCTGCCTGTTAGAAGCCCCAGCGCGCATGCTCAGCCAGGGCGCCCCGCAGTGTCCCTGACTGGCCAGCGGTTCCCTCAATCCCAGCTGCTCTGGTGAAGAGGCTGGGGGTGCCACCAAAGTCGGGTCATGAACCCCACACCCCCTTATGTCCCAGCACCCCATCGGGTCCTATTCAGAAACATGGGGAAGCAGAAAGGCAGAAGCTTGCCAGGGGGCGAGGCCCCAGTTTGGGAAGTAAGTATATGGGGGGCCCAGCCAGCAGCACAGGGGCCCTGCGTGGGTGGGCGGGGCCGCCTCTGGCTTGTGCAGCTGTGGCAACGTTGAGTGCAGCCGCCCCCTCCCACAGGCCCTGACCCCGCGGAGCAGCCCCTGCCTCGTCCCGGCCTGCCAGTCACTGGCAGACACATCTGTTGCCAAGAGGGGAAAATTCCCAGGATGGCTTGCCTACAGGAGCGTGGGGAGGGCTCAGTGCCCCCGGGGAAGCCTGGAAAAGTTTGGGGACATCCTTGAGCTTTCTGGCTTCGCTCGTCTGTTCCCAGGAGGATGGAGTCTTGCTTCCACTCTGCTTCCTGGTTGGGAGTGGAGGCATTATGTGCCAGGCACCAGCGATGCAGAGTTCTGAATCTTCAAGGGGCGCTGTTATCACCAGTTTATGGAGGCAAACTTGGGATCCCAGAGGGCAGAGCCCTTGCTGCAGGCCACATAGCGTAGCCAATGCTCAGTGGAGACACAAACCCCAGTTCCTGGTCCAGAATCCACACTGGAGTGCTCCCTGCCCCCAGCACATTTCCTTTACAAGACTCGCCCCCGTGGGATGTTTTAGGTTCTGTCCCAAGCCTGGAGGCCCGAGTTGGCCGGTGCACCAAGGAAGAGCACTAACAAGTTGTCACGGCCACAGGAAACCACCACACATTGCATTGGCCGTGGGAGGGAGGAGATGGAGTCTCGGCCTCCAGCTCCTGTGTGCATCAGGGCCCCGGCACTGGGAGCTGTCGCTGGCGTGCGTGATGATCAGGGGTTTCACGGGCACAGAGCACCCTTTCGTGCAGAGGTCTCACTCCACCATCTTGAGCTGGGTGCTGATTGCTGTCTCGGGTCTTAGCTGCTGTGTTTTGGAAGGAAGAGCAGGAATTTCTACACCGGGCTACTGAGTGTGCTGTTCGTGCAGTGCCTGGGGGCGGGGTGTGGTAAATGGTATTGGGGTGACGATAAGGTCCCCCACCTCATTGGCCTGCAGGGGCTGCCCGTCAGCACGCGCCAGCCCGGCCAGGCAGCTGCTCAGACTGCACAGCCCATCCCATGCTCAGAGCCCAAGGCAGCCAGATTTTTCTGAGCTGGGGCGAGTCATAGAGAGGCCCCCTTCGTTAGGAAGACTCCGCATTTGCCCATGGCTACAACAGATGCTATCCTTTAGGCTGAAACAACTTGTCCTGTCGGTGGAGAGCTGGACTGGGAGTTTAACCTGGACTGGGAGTTTAACCTTTAAGAAACACAAAGTAACAGTTTATGCCCAGACTTCCGCTGAGCCGGCACTTCAGTACTGGTCTGCCTCCCCAGGTGGCCGGGCCTGTCTTAGGTTACCTTCCAGAAGAAGGTGGAAAGTCAAAGGTGGAGGAGGCCCCTGAGCCTGCCCGAGTCCACACCCCCTTCCCACCCCATTTTGTAAATTCCCAGCCCACTAGCCGGAGCGCTTCGCCTGGCCGCGGCTCAAATCACCTTCTCCCAAACCTGTCGGTAATCATTCCCTAAACCCATGAATCAACTTTGCGCAAACGCCCTGAGTAATTCCTTTGTTCTTGTCTTTCTGCTTGGTACTGGGTGTCTGTGGAAGCCAAAGGTTTGGTCTTGCCGACGGGGTGATTCATTTATAGTGTCTGTGCCACCTCCGTCTCTCAGTCATTTCAGATCACCGGCCGTGCCGCCGAGCCGCGGGTGATTCACTCCAGACCCAGCCGAGCAGGTGAGGGGGTCACGGCCGCCGGGAGAACTGTTTCTCTCTTATCTATTTATAGGCTGCCGAAGGAGCGGGGAGGGCTGACAGGTGTCAATTATATGGGTCACTATAACCCACGAAACACCACTCACCCACTTTTTGAACAGACCCCGTTTGCGCCCGTCGATCTTGACAGCAGATGCCCGCTGGCCGGCTCTTGTCCTCGGTGCAGCTGTCCTGTTGGTGGCTCGTGGTCTCTGAGCAGGCTGACCCGCACGGAGACGTGCTCCCACCGATCCTGTACTGTTCTGGCTCACCATGATGCCTTTTAGCAAGTCTTCTGGCTGGGTCCAGCGTGAAACTTAAGGAGGGGGTCCACCCCTGAGCATTGGGGACCCCCTGCCCTGTCTGCAGTTCTAATAAAAATTA